TGTTTGAGAAAGTCTCTATTTCTCCTTCAATTTAAGAAATTAATTTGACAGGATACTGCATTCTAAGTTGGTAGTGATATCAATAGTTCTTCTCTTTTTTAGTCTTTTTAGTAGTTGCTGAAGAGTTGCAATATAGGGCAATGCCTGTGGCTCAGTGAGTAGGGTGCCGGCCCCATATACTGAGGGTGGTGGATTCAAATCTGACCCCAGCCAAACTGCAACAAAAAAATAGCTCGGCTTTGTGGTAGGCACCTGTAGTCCCAGCTACTCGGGAGACTGAGGCAAAAGAATCTCACCTAAGCCCCGAAAAGCTAGAGGTTGCTGTGAGCAGTGTGATGCTGCCATGGCACTCTACCAAGGGTGAGAAAGTGAGACTATGTCTCAAAAAAAAAAAAAAAGAGTTGCAATATACATTTATAACTGAGCCAAGTCCATTTTTTCAGCAACTACTAAAAAGACTAAAAAAGAGAAGAACTATTGATATCCTAAAAATGGGAAAAAATGGAATTTCATAAAATGCTCAATTACAATCATGAAAGGGAGAAAAAGAGAGGAAGACAGTGTTTAGGCTGAGGGGATCTTAAAGAATTCCTGCTATTCCACAAAGAAAGAGAATTCTGCCTAGGAGAATAAAGCTCTCCCTTCAGCCATAGCTATCACATCAATTAGCTAAAAGGAAGCAAAAAGGCCATTGTCCCAGATGTCTTATCATTGCATTGCCATTAACAGGTGACCTTGTTTAAGTATTTTGAAATCACTCTCAGAAAAGAAAATCACTGAAGCTAATTCTTGGAATTGTTTGTACCCTCTGCATATAACAATTGCCTCTCTAAAAGTTAGCATATAGGTGGCCATAACATGCTCCAGCCAGGCAGCCTCCCTTCCAGTGTAATGGAGGAAGGTCAGAGAGTGAACTATAGAGCTGACACTGACAGGGTAGGCAACAGGGCCTGTGTTAGGCAGGGTTGTACAGTGCATGTTAAAGGCTTAGTTTGTAATAATATTTAAAATCAACAATATAAACTACCAACCATGTTAAGAATTTATGTATTTTTTTTCAAAGCAATTTTCAAATTCTTACCTTGTTTTACACTTACCACATCCTTATGAAAGGGGCTAAAGCTGTTGAGGAAACATTTTACAATCCTAAGAGTCATTATTAGAGTTTGAGATCATATAAAATTTTGTAACTTCAAGCAAATGGCAGGAAAATATGACTTATGAAAACTCCTTAGGAAATAGTCTTTTTACTTTTAATTATTTCTAAACAGATGTTATTTGTAAACCTTAGGGCCTCCTTATTTTAATGAGCAATTAAAACTAGTTTGGCATACTTTGTATAAATGGATATTACTTGACTGATTGGAAATGTTCAATTCTTTTAAGAATATTTAGAGATAGTACCCCCCAAATCAATATTTTATTATAACTTACAAAATCAATTATTTAAGAATTTGTTGACATTCATTTTTTTCAAATTGACCTTTCACTGTTGTCAATGAATATTAATTTTTAAAAATCAGGATTCCATATTTACTTATGTATTTCCCATAGTTTTATACAGTCCTCCTGTGCCCCTTTCTATGGGAAGAACATTTGGTCCTCCCTGATACTGCTAATTTCTGCTCCATTCTTTTTTCCTCAGTGGGTCTTATTTTGATCCCCATATCCCCTTACCAAAGACAGGAGCACAGAGCCTTCACTTCCTACAGTGACCAGGTGTACTCAAACTTTAAACAGAGGGCCAGTTCACTGTCCCTCAGACTGTTGGAGGGCTGGACTGCATTCCCCAGGATGAGTTGGCTGCTAAGCAAGACAGGCAGTGGTGGCAAAAACACCCGGCAGGCCATATAAATGTCCTAGGTGGGCCGAACGTGGCCCATAGGCCATAGTTTGAGGATGCCATGGGCTACATGGAGAGTTGAGAAATAAGGCTAGGAACTACGTGCTCCTTACCAAGTCCAAATGCACGTAAGTCTTAAATGTAGAACATGAAATGGAAGGAAACCCAAGGTGGAAACATTACCTTGCTCTCAGCTGTAAATCTCCCCCTACTTCTTTTTGTCTATATCCCTGCAGAATTTCAGAGTCTTCTGCTCCCAATGGTACTTTTTAAGTAATGTAATTATAAATGGAAGGAGAGAAGTTAGAAGATTTAGAATCCAATTAACTTTGCACCTAAGGAGTTCTGGATAACTTTGAACAAGTCACTCTGCTCTATTAAACCAAGTAAGAACAATAAAGATTTATAAAGGTCATAAACAATGACAATGGATTAGAAGCCAGGTAGTATCATAATTTTTCCTTTCCTGTATCCCATGTATAATAGAAAACATTCAAATAGCACCTCACACCCAGGAGTTGTGCACTGTACAATCTGTATAATCAGATATGACACCTCTGGTTAGAGATGTAGAATTATATGACATTCATACAAGTGTAAAAATAATTAACTTACCAAGTCTATTGGCTTTTAAAACTCTTAGGACTATCTAGGGAAGATATTGCTAAAGTTGAGTATCTTAAAATCTAATTAAAGCCTGGGCGCTGTGGCTCACACCTGTAATCCCAGAACTCTGGGAGGCTGAGGCAGGTGGATTGTCTGAATCCATAAGTTCAAGACCAGCCTGAGCTAGAACAAGACTCCTTCTCTAAAAAATAGCTGGGTGTTATGGCGGTAGCTATACTCCCAGCTATTAGGGAGGCTGAGGCAAGAGGATCACTTAAGCCCAAGAGTCTGAGGTTGCTGTAGCTAAAGACACCATGATACTATATCCATGGTGACAAAGTGAGACTCTGTCTCAAAAAATAAAATAAAAAATAAAAATCTAATTAATATTTAAAATTCCTACATGCAGATAAATACCCTATGATTTAAAGGCTAAATATGGAAATTACAAATCCCAGTCCACTAATACAGTCACCTTAAATAACTACTGGCATACACCAAAGCATATTCCCCAAAATATTGGCCATGAGATGTAATAAAGAAAGAAAAAAGCTTAATTTAAATTTTGTGATGTAATTTTGCTCAGTAACCAAAATGCTATTAAAAGTAAGTTATAAATACTTTGACTCCTAAAAAGATAGAGTGGACATACTTTTCCCTATTCCTCCTGCTTGGCACATCTAAAATTCTGGAAATTATGTATGAAACAGACATAAGAAGAGTCTGAAAGTTGTAGAGGAAAAGGCAGGTAGCTAGAGACTCTGTACCTAAAGAGTGACACATTGGCTTTAATCAAAAATCACTCATTACACAAAGCACCAAGTAGATCCCAACTTGAACTAGAAAATAGTCAATATATGCCAACACTAAGAAACACAGATGTTGGAATTACCAGACAAAGTTTTTTGTTTGGGGTTTTTTTATTTGTTTGTTTGTTTGAGACATTTTGTCACCCTGGTAGAGTGTTATGGTGTCATAGCTCACAGCAACCTCAAACTCTTGGGCTCAAGTGATCCTCTTGCCACAGCCTCCCAAATAGCTGAGACTATGGGTGCCTACCACAATGCCCAGCTGCTTTTAGAAACAGGGTATTTCTCTTGCTCAGGCTGGTCTTGAACTCCTAAGCTCAAGCAGTCTACCCCACCTCAGCCTCCCAGAGTGCTGGGATTATAGGTTGTGAGCCACACACCCAGTCAGACAAGGATATTAATGTAGCCATCATAAAAATGTTTTTGAGCAATTATAAACACTCTTGAAATAGATGAAATAGTAGAAAATCTCAGCAAAAAAAAAAAAAAGAAAAGAAAAGAAAAGAAAATCTAAGCAAATGAACTACAACCTTACACCACAGACAAAAATAAGTCTAGACGTATTATGGACTAAAGTGTAAAATGTAAACTATGGGAGTTTTTTTAAAAATAGAAGAAAATCTTTACATTTAGGAGAAGGCAAAGAATTCTTGGACCTGATGCCAACAATGAAATTCATAAAGGAAAACAATCAATAAATTTGATTTCATCAAAATTAAGTTTAAAATTTTCATTCTGTGAAATATTCAGTGAAGAAAATGGAAAGACAAGGTACACACTCAAAAAATTTGGTAAATCACATATTGGACAAAGTCCTTCTATCTGGAATATATATAAAGGACTCTTAGAACTCAATAGTGGAGTCCAATAACAAATAAAAGTTCCAATTAGAAACCAACGGAAGATATTACCAAAGAGGACGTATGGCAGATAAACACATGCGAGGATGCTCGCCATTATTGGCTGTGCTTGATGGAACAGTGGTCCCCAAAATAAGTCCAACATTCTAGTCCCCAGAAGCTATAAACATGTTCTTACATTCAAAGGGAACTTTGCAGATGCCATTAAGTTATTAAAGATCTGGAGATCTATCAATCTTTTCTTTCATAATGTGTTTATTTTTGCTTTCATGCAATAAGAATATTCTCCTAACTTCTAAAAAATTATGTAGAAGTTTTTTTTCTTTAGGTCTTTGATCTACCTAGAATATAATTTTTTATATGTTGTTTGCAGCAAAATGAGGGGGAAAGAATAGATGAAATTATCAGCTCTCTACATTTCCTCTCTCTCCCTTTTTTTTTCTTTTGTGGGAAACCAGCTCACGTTTAATTGTGAAATTTTAAAATTGTACAAGTATTTTGACATTTCCCCCGTATTTAGTCTCTGATGACAGGAAAATACTAACCAATCACAGGATTTCATGGGTTTAATAAATTTACCCCTTCAGTTCCTCTTTGCAGCACCCAATATTCCTCTGCAATACCAGACAGACCTGGCAGTGGCCAACAATAAATTTCTGTTCTCCCAGTGTTTAAAAGTTCAGGTATCTGAGTATCATGTTGCAATGGCACTTGCCAAAATTGGTACCTCCCCATAATTGAGGGGCTTTAATGTACCAGTGATTTTCCCACTCAAGGGGAAGAAAAAAATCACTCCAAAACCTAGCAGACTGGGCTGTGAGGTCTTTCCTCCTGTCCCATCCATCTTTTCATCTCTTCAGGCTCTCTTTCTTTTTCTTTTTCTTTTGCAGTAGAGCATGAGAGACCAAATCCTAACCTGAGTTACAAGAAACAAGACAGTGATGGCTATAAAAGGAGTGATCAGGAGCAACTGAGATCCTCCTTTACCTCCCACATCCAATGTATGTGCTTCACAGAAAAACAACAAAAATAACAAATCCACAAAATGCAACAGCTAGAATTACAAAACCCATTCATCCAAGGGTGGTGGAAGGCGGGAAAGTAGGAGGGTAAATGGCACAGGGAGAAAACAAAATGCAGGCACAGGGGATGGCAAAGGCTAGAAAATAGCTGCAGAAAAACCTGTGGTCCTTTCAGACTCAGGTGATGTTAAGAATCCACACACTGGTGTCAGGAAGATTCTGCCTTATGTGCACCGGAGACAAACCTTCCAATTCCGCTGAGAGAAGGGAATATGCAGAAGGCTTCTGGCAGCCTCCCTCAACTCCCACCCATCCCCTTTGGGTGGCAGGCAGATCAGGGGCATGCAAGCAGCTTTCGGTTTGGCAGGCGATGGATGTGGCGAAGGGATCATCTCTGCAGAGGTTGAGCTGCTCAGGGCAGACTGCAGGTACACGGTCTTGTGGAAGAGTCAGTTGCTTAAGAAGACCACCAAGGAGAAGAGTCGCAACTGGAAGAGGTATGCTTTTCCAGGGGTCTTTGCTTCATTGGCGCTGATAATGAATAAAGGAAAGAGGATAGAGAAGAGGCAGCCACTGATACCGTGTGAGGACTGCATTGCCGTGCGAAAAGCCAACAGCAAACTAAACCCAAAGTAGTAAGGCCAGTTCCTTTCTATGTTTGACAACCGTTGGTGCATTTCGATTCCTTTATTGAACCAATGATATTCGAAGCAATACAGTGAGTACAGAAGGGATATATGAAGGAGACTAACCAGCTGACCAACAAGATGAATACTTAAGAGGCTCACGAACATTCCCTGAATAAGGAAAAGAGCCTGCAACAGAAAGTTGAAAAGCATGTCAGCAATTATTTTACTGACACTAGGGGATGGATGAGGCCTCCTCCCTGATGCCGTAAATGTCAGGTCAGCTATATCCTGAAACCAAATGGCATTCACGACATTGCTGAGCACAAACAGGGGGAGCACCCACAGAGCGCTGAAAATGGACGTGAGGAAGAATTCCAGCCGGGACCAAAAAACTCCATGCGGTGATGGATCACCAATAATTAGGGCTGTTACATACTGAAGCCCAGGAATAAACATTCGATAAAACAAGAGGAGACTACACCAGAACACTCCACCATTCCAAGCACAACACTGGAAAATTCTACTAACAATATGTGGCTCACTCTCTTGCTTCCGCTCCGTGCTCTGGGCTCTCCTCTGTGCCAGGACACTGCTTGCCCTTCTTCCGCGCTGCTCCTCTCTCTTTTGCTGGATTCGAGCATCTAACTTTGAGATGGTGCAAATACCCCATATGGAGTCTTTGATTCCCCTGGCAAGGTCCTGGAGAAATGTTTTGACACTGTCAGCCATCTTTTCACCACCCAAACTATCAACTACACAGAGGAGAGAGAAGCACCCTCCAAATCTCTCATCATGTAGGACCAGCAGCCCTGCCACCGCTGACCCCGCCCAGCCCCTGGCCCTCCGCGGGGCCGCTCGGCTCCTCCACGCCCGGCCGCCCGCTCCGCCTGGGCGCTCCCAGGGCCGGGCGGCTGCGCCCGCTCTACATGTCCTCTCAAAGATAAGATAAATGAAGCACCTTCCCTGTGGATAGGCTGTCTGAGTAACCATGGTAATTCACTTATGTTTCCCAAAATTTTTGACAGTATCGACTTATCCACTTATTTAAGGGCTTCCTATTACATATAAATGGTGTTTTTTTTTTTTCCTGGAAGCTGGAATATATAGCAAAATACTTTGGTTTTGCTCTATGATAGAAGAGATGTGAATTAGTAAATGGAAAAAAGAAATCCATTCTTGGCAAGGCTACTGTTTTGCATCAATCAATGGGGTGCTATATGGGGACTGGAAGAACTGGCCAACAAAGAAACAATGGGAAACAGATAAATTTGTTGTCTCTTGAATCAGACAATCATATTTGACTATTATTTAAGTTCAGTTTAATGTGACTTTATTATTTTTTAAGAAATGTGAATTTCTAGAATGAAGGTTATTCTCAAGTATATACATAGTATGTATAAATATATTCTAAAACCAAGAATAATTATGTCAGTTTTTTCCACTTGGATTAATGAACCATCTCCTAATCTTTTACTAGGATAGCACAAAGCAAGAATTAGCTATCTGGCAAAGCCTTCTAATTGTGCATTAATGAAAAATGTGGTTTTTACAGTATCAGGAATCTGCTAGCATGGCTATCCCCCAGATCTATGTGTGTGGATAAGTTTACTTAATAGATATTTCATAAGCATTTTTAATCTAGCCAAAGTCTAAGCAGAAATTCTAGCTCAACTAACCCAAACTGGCTGTTCAGACAACTCTTAGACGTGTTCAATTCTAATATAGCAGTATATTACCCTGAGCCTCAGCCAGTGTGAACTACCCTCTTATGAAGTCCTTTTTTGCTCCCCCACAACACTACCCATCATGCCCCATGGTGCCACACACATTCAGCCTTGTTTGCCCATTAGAACGCAAAAAGAATACAACAGTTTTTTATTGTCAACTATGATTATACACTCAAAAATTTATTATGAAGATACATATGGCTGGACATGGTAGCTTATGCCTGTAATCCCAGCACTCCGGGAGGCTGAAGTGCGAAGATCTCTTAAGCTCAGGAGTTCAAGATCAGCCTGAGCAAGAAAAAAATGAACCAGGCATTGTGGTGGGTGCCTGCAGTCCCAGATACTCTGGAGGTTGAGGCATGGGGATGGCCTTAGCCCAAGAGACAGAGGTTGCTATAATGATGCCTCCACTCTACCCAGGGCAACAGAGTGAGATTCTGTCTTCAAAAGAAAAAAAGAAAAGAGAAAAAATGCCATGTTAAGTACTTCTACCACAATAAAATAAAAATTTTTAAAGGATTTATGCCACTTAATACTTTATTTTTTTTTCCATGTAATGCTGTCAATGGTCAAAACAGGAAGATGATAGGAGATTGCAAATATAGTTCTCACAACAAGCTTATAATTAGGGGATCAGAGTTGTGATATTAGCTTTCACAGATTGCTTGGAAAATTATCATAAGGAGGAAAATGCAAGTAAAGGTCAAGATTCAAGGATGACTAAAATCATTAACATGAATTCTTTAAAAGAAACTAACTGGTTTTACATTGCCTACTTTTGGAAAGGAGTTGCTAACCAGAGTTTACCACTCTTCTAAAGTAGAATAACAGGAAGGAGAACTAACTGAGACATGAAGACAATATATTTTTTAATAGATTTTATTTCATGACACAGAAAGGGAAAGTTGTAATTAGGCTATAATTCTAGACCCTGGTAATTTGCCTAAGTCATCAGTAATGTAAAGAATATATGTGTTAATATTTTTTATGCTTCTGACTAAGCTACCGGCCTAGTTAGAAATGTTAAGGTAATAACAATATTTATTACTGCTCATGATATCTTAGATAAAAGATCTTCAGCTGATATAGACAAAGGATAAATTAATGAAAGGCCAAATCAGAAAAACTTACTGTTAGTCTTATAAAATGGCCTATTATTATTTACTCATAGATGTTTATAGAAAGTTTAACTTTATATTTTGCAGAAAAGAAATTCAGACTTTTTGTAAAAATAGTATGAAGATGTAATGTTATAGCATAGAATTCTAAAGAAATGAATTTAATATAATCATGATATTCGAGAAGCTTGGGATGCATATTGATTTATTAGAAGTATATGGACGCTATCCTCTGAAGAGCTCCAACATGCCCTAATTTAACTCCAAGAATTGCTTTGATAACCCTCTCTTGGGAAAATTAGAGGAAAGCTTAAGAGCTTTATGGGATTTATACACCAACATGAAAACTCAGGATTTTAGGGTTGTACTAATTGTTTGCAACCCTAAGTCCCCAAACTCTGACTCTCCTATTGAGATATCTTAAAAAATATTTCAAAATGTGCTTCAGGAGTCCTCCATTTATTTAATTCAAACATTATTTCATACATTATTAGATATGATTTAAGCTGTAACACAAATTCCACTTGCTAAAAAATGATAAAAACAAAATTTTAACACATTAGAGAGCATTAATGCATCATATTGTCTATCAGATGGGAATAAATTTTGAAATTGTTTGCTTTGACATCTCTTTCCATACAGTTGGATCTTTTATAAATGAAATATTAATTTCTTTTAATGTATATGGCTTTGCACACTTTTTTATTCAGGAGTACAGATTCACATTAGATTATGCATTTTCATCAGCTTTTGTGTCTTGCTAATATTTTTACAACATAAATAATTCATTACTCTGTTCAGGTTTTAGTCATACCATTCTTAGTAATGAAACCAATTGTTGGATGTAACATGCAAAACAAAATCTATTTTACTGTTTTGGAACTTTGACTATTTGATAGAGATAAGCACTCAGGTATACAAAAGATTGTTCAAAACAATTACAAGATGAATTTTTAAAGTATTTTCTACAAAAAAAACTGATGCTACCTTTTTATCTACTTCTCTGAACTTTGTACACTGCTCAATTATGTAGACAATGAAAACGTTGATGATAAATGTAGAAAGGCAATGTAGCATTCTTTGTAGTGTTTCAGATCAATTTTTAATTATCCAGTACCCCAAGAATGCAAATTGAGTAGGTCACAAAGGTGCTATTCACGCCTATTAATGAATTAAGATTTTCTCCCTATCATGTAAACAAAACAAAATACAAAATTTGAAAGTTGCCAAAAGACTACAATTGCCATAACGACTGTGATAATGATAACTCTTGTTTTCAAAGTATCAACTGTCAAAACAGTCTATTTTCTCTGGTTGTATAGATAAGTAAAAACTTATAAATGTGAACTTATAAAATACGTTAAAACCCATAAAATTCTATTTTTGTTCTCCTTATGTATGTAGATGCTGTTGAAGGTAGCATTTGAAAATGAGTTAATCACCAGTTTTTCAGTTGCACAGTTCCTTAAATTTTGTTTGCTTTTCTTGTTTTTTAGGGTCTGAAGTTCTAAGATCTAATTCTTATTTTGAAAACTGTACCTGTCTGAAGAGACAATGTCAGCGCTGTGCTCTAAACAACATGCACAAAACAGTGTGATATTTACCATGTGAATTTTGCAGATTTGCATGTTCACGGCAGCTTTCAGTGGCCTCTATGTTTCTCTGCCCACTATCTGAATCCCCTGTTAGGGGCAGATGCTGCCATTCTATTCATAGTGATATCTAAATTATAACTTTAAGAGCTGAATAGCTTACCTTCCCTCGGGCATGATTAAGTCAGTCAGCATATTTAGCACAATTTTCATGCTCGGGCTTTTTCTAAGGTGAAATTCTCTATTAAACAAAAATACAGACATATGAAGAAACATTGTCAACAAGATGTACTATTTTAGATAAAAACCTTGAGAAGATACCAATGAAAACTGGGTATTCTTGAAAACTCATCTTCAGCTCTTACTGCTCCCTTGTTTATTTTCACTTTGGGTTTTCTTTCAGAGCTTTGGTGAGTCTCTTTCAATCTGATTTTTCTCCCTTGTTTTTCTAGGATTGCTTTAAGGAATTAATATTATCCACTATAGTAAGTTATCAAAATCACTGCAGACTTTGTTTTTCCAGGCAATTCATATTGTAATCTCATCTCCATTTCAGCCAGGCTCTTTATATTTATTTTTTTTAAAGAGTTTTATCTGGTTTCTCAAGTTACTGGCCTTATTTCTCTACTTTTTAAAGATGCCTCTCATCCAATAGAAAAAGGGAGGTTAAAATATCAAGAGGCAGCACAGTATTTCTAGCTTGCTTCTTGTTTAATTGGAATGGAATTTCATTTATTCTAAGCCTGCCTAATCTTTCTGTTGTCTGCCTTCTGTATGCACATAATTGGTCTTCAGAGTCAGAACTTGCCTATTTGAAAGGATCCAGGCTGCTTTTCCCAGAATTTAACTTTTGAAGGAAAGACACACCTAAACATAATATAAAAATGGTTCTAAAATGGAAGTTTCTTTAAATGGCAGTTTTTTCTCTAAAATGTCTCATTAACCCAAAATGCCACTCATGTACATAGAACCTGAAAATGGCAGTTTTCTCCCTCTCTGTCCAATTTCTCCCTATGTCTCTCCTCTGGTTTTATACATATTTGAGCTCATAGGGCTCTGGAGAAGCAAAGAGTCAGGGTAGATTTATTGAGGCCAGAGGAAAAGGAAAGAAATTCAGAATGGGGATCCTGGCCAGTGATGGGCAGTATGTCCCTTGTATCTGCTAACTCTGCGTTCTGGTGATGGATTGACGTGCTGTTGCTCTACTTCTGGCCCCAAAGCCCATAGCCTGGCTTACCAGATCCCTGGAGTTTTACTTTAAAACCCAATGGATGGATTCAGAGTTACAAGGATGTTACTGACAATTTGGAAGACCAAAATCCAAAAGGACTATACCCTTGTCAAACTGAGTACTACTTAAGCCCTTTTGAATTTTAGCACCACATGGAACAACAGCTATTCCCAATTACTTTTTTAAGTTGATATTGCAGAACTTTTTAGATTGATACCTTGAAAGAATTCTGTGGTTTGTATATACTCCCTTATGATAACTTAATAAAAGAAGAATCAATAGAATGAGTGAAGGCTGCCTAGAAAAGGCAAAATACTACTAGATTTTTTAAAATTTAAAGTTTTGAATAAGTAATGCAAAATAAAATAATATAAAAATAGATTGAGAGAAAAATCTTCTTTTCTAGTGACCATCTCCAATCACTTTCTTTTCTTTTCTTTTGAAACAGAGTCTCACTTTGTCACCATCAGTAGAGTACCGTAGTGTCATAGCTCACAGCAACCTCAAACTCTTGGGCTCAAGCAATTCTCTTGCCTCAGCCTCCCAAGTAGCTGGGATTACAGGTGCCCGCCACAACACTTGGCTATTTCTAGAGACAGGGTCTTATTCTGGCTCAGGCTGGTGTCACACCTGTGAGGTCAGGCAATCCACCCACCTCAGCCTCACTTATCCCTTATAAGTGCTGGGATTATAGGCGTGAGCCATCATGCCCAGCTTCCAACCACTTTTCCCACCACCAAACCCATAAGCACTATTATTGGTTTCCAATGTCCCAAAGTTTCCTCATCCATATGCAAGCAAATATAAATATATATCCTTAATTTTCTTCTTTATATATAAGCTAGCATATGAACACAATGTTTTGCACTTTGTTTTTTTATAACCTAACTTGGAGTTCTTTCTGTATACAGTAAATATGTACAGAACTTCCTTATTCTTTTTTTAAAGCAGTATTGTATTCCTCTGTATGGATCAAATATGATTTATTAACAGGGTCCCTAAAGATGACATTTAAATTGTTTCCAATTTTTTTTGCTATTTCAAATATTGCTGCAAATATTTTTTATCAATTTATTAGTATATTTTGACTTAGTTTATGTTGTTTTTAACCATGAATAAATTTTTAAGATTATCATATATACCTTATCATTATTATTGTGCTAGGTGTGCTAGGTGTGCCCAACCCACCTTTTCTTTTATGACTTCTGATATCCTAAGATTTTTCTCATTCAGTCTTATGCTTTCATGATTTCAATTTTTACATTGATATGTTTAATCTTCCTGGAGCTTACACTGTAGATCATTATGAAGTACAGATAGTTTTTTTCCTAGGTAGCCAACCAATTGTTCCAGTAACAATTACTCACTAATGCATATTTTTTCCACTGACATAACATGGTTTTGTTGTAACTGGGCATGTGATTGGGTCTATTTCTGGATTGTCCTACTCCATTGGTTTCTCTGTGTAGTCTTAAACTGACATCATAGTGTTTAAATTATTGAAACATTAGGGCATAATTTACTATGTCCCACTGCCCAGCTTTTCTTTTTTAGGATTTTTATTTATTTTTCTGTATGAATTTTATATTTAGTTTGTCAAATTTAAAAAAACTTGATATTTTATTGATATCATGACATATTAAATTTTAAATCAACATAGGAAGAATTGATATTTTCATGATATTGAATCTTCTTAATTTATAACATAATATATCATTTCATAAGTTCAAGTATTTTTTATATTCATTGGTAATATTGGAAAGGTTTCTTCATGTAAGTCTTGCATATTTCTAAGTTTACTTGCTTTTATCTTTTCAGTTGCTACTGTAAACAGAATTTTTTCTTCCATAATGTCTTATGTATTTTTTTAATCTCTAGATTTTCAAGTCATAAAATGCTTGATTATTTCCATGAATGAAGGGAGGGGGAAGGTATAGCCTGCAAGTCATTTACATTTGTGGTAGAAATAGGATTATGCCATGATGTTTTATCATAAACAACAATAAAATCTGAAGCCTCACTTCATAAAAAATACCAAATATTAATGAGAAGTTCTTATACAGGAATTACTAAGAGGTACCCATTCTGTATTTGACTTCGTCAATTTTCAGACCTTTCCCATAACCCACATCAAACCAGTAACATTATGCTTTCTGCTGACAAACTTATCTAACTATTGCAAATTGACTTATCTCAGAATTCATTTATAGCAGTTAAGGAATGTTTTTGTTTAATTTTTAATTTTAATACTTATCTGTATTTAATGTCTTTAAGGTATACATTATATGCTTAGTAAGAATAAACTGTTGACCCATAATTTAAGTTCTTCTCCTTGTCTCCAACCTATTTCATCCTTGTTACCCCAAATTTGACCACTTACCATTTCTTCTAAACTCCAAATACTTCATTATTTTCATCCAAAAAACCCATCTCCACTGATCAAAATTCTATCTATAGTAGTGATGGGAAGCCCTGTCTTCTGGGGCCTTTGGTGCACTAAGTGTTGCTAGGTGGTTGTGAGACAGAGTGTTGACGTTTCATTTGCCGGTTCAGGCAGTGAGTAGCTTGATAAGCCAATGCTGAAACCCAGTGCAGGGTAGACGCTGTGAGACTGGAGACTTCAGGTGCTCTTCTTTACTTGGCCTGTGTTTGAGAGGCTGTACTTAACTTCTCCCGTGATCTCTTGGTAGCTGGAAGTTTGCATACTTTTCCTGTTTGCAGTCTTGTTTTCGCAGCAAGCAAACAAAATTAAGCCACTTCGGGATAATGAATGTTCAGTATATTTTGGTTTTTCTACATTGTCTCATTTTATATGTCACTGTTGTGTTTATAAGATGTGGTTATGTTTTACAGAGTAGTTTATTTCCTTTTACGCTTTCTGGTGGAAAGTGCCTTGAAATAAATAAAGTCTGAGAATATTCCAGTACTCTGTGTTCCTGACAGCACAGCGTCATGAGGAATAACCCCTGGTTTGGATCTTTCTGAAGCATAGAGATTATTGCAAAGCAAGTGGGAACTAACACATGTTGCCATTTGAATATGGCTTTCCAGGTTCTAGAAAAGATGAACATTGGTCGGGACCAAAGTCTCCATGGCGTGTGACTGAAGACCGGTGGCCTTGTGTGCTTGAAAACTGCACACTGAGTCCACTGATGCCTCAAGAAGGCTGAGATATTCTATCCAGCCAAGATGGGATATGAAAACATGTAAACAAAATATGTTGAGGACAATTTTCTAAGGCAATATAATGTCTTTATTTTCTTATTTCTGTATGTTATTAATTTTAGAGAGTTGAGGAACCAGGGGTTCCAGAAAGAATCTTAACATATTTTATGATAAAGACAATGGCATCTTTGGGACAGCGGAACGGGTTCCCTTCTGGGTTAGTATTGCTGAGTCTCAGTGTGAACAAAGAGCACACTGCTAGTGTTGTGAATGCAAGGTCTGGCTGCCTCCCTGCCGATGAAAGACACTGAATAGTACACAGTAGGACCTCATGTGGTGTGCATGCCTGGTAGACCCACCGCCCGACGCAGCTGCCTGTTGTCATCAGCCTTCAATCATTTTTGCTTTGTTGACATGTTTTATTCTGAGACACACATGTTACTTTTTGCAACAGGTATGTTTTTATTTCAGATACATGTATTACTTTTTCTGATTATTTGTAAATTGTATTGTCAGCATTAGTCATTTGAAATTCTGTATAAAATCATAGCCTGCTTTCTGGTTTTCTATTATGTTTGATTCTGTAATTCTTTATACCATTGAGGCACATCCCCCGCCCTCACCCCCAAATATCCAAATATCTCCTGAGAAATGCAGGACAGATTGCTTTTGCTTCCTATTAATTTGATAGTAAAAGTTTTCATGTTTTTCTCAGAAAAAAAAAATTCTATCTATACCTCAAGGCCCAGCTAAAATGGTCCCCATAATTGTTCTAATTAGATAGTTCTTCCATGGGAGTTCTAATTATAGCTGACCTTTCTCTTTGTCTATCTATGTCTCTCTGAATGTTCATGCCACTTTACCTATAGGTCTCTGTGGTGGAAAGAACGCCCCCTGCTCTGCCACAATGCCTAGCTATTCTTGTTGTTGTTGTTGTTTAGCAGGCCTGGACTGGGTTCGAACCCAACAGCCCTAGTGCTTGTGGCCCGCAACTTAACCAGAAAGCTAAGCCAAATAAGCTTAAGCTTAAGCTTAAGCTTGTTCTTAAGCATCTTGTCCAATGATAAGTGTAATAGGAAGTGCTCAGTCCATTGAAATTTAATTACAGTTTGACCAGTATTTCTCGGACACTGCCAAAGTGTTCTGTTTCTGAAGGTAATTTGAAAGATATTTAGTCTTGAATGTCATGTAAGAGAGTATTTGCAAGGGCACTATCTGGGTTGACTTGATTTAATGTAAATTAATAAAATCATTTTAAACCTACCAAAAAAAAAAAAAGCCTCCTGCTAAGAGGCCCATACTCTAATTCCTGGAACCTGTGAATATATGTTATGAGGAAAAGGGACTTTGCAGAAGTAATTAAAGCTATAGACCTAAAATAGAAGAGCCCGGGTCATGCAGGTGGTCTCTATCTAGTCAGGTGAGCCCTTAAGTGCAGAGCACTTTCTCCAACTGGAGTCAGAGAAATGTGGCAGAATGTCAAGTCAGAGAGACAGGAAGCCTGAAGGTGGAGCCAGTCACATGGAAAGCACGAGAAGGAAATGAGTTCTGCAAACAACCAGTGAGCTCCTGAGAGGACCCCAAGTCCTGGGTGAGAACTTCAGCCTCAGCTAATATTTTGATTCTGACTAGATGTTAACTTCTGCCTATGTCCACAAAATCCCAACATAAAGGGCATCAAAAGACACATAAATAATTATGGTGGAATCTCAGAATTCACTTATAGCAGTCAAGGAATGTTTTTGTTTAATTTTTAATACTAGATGTCACAGTGAGATTTGGAGATAAAGCTGACACTTAAATTCTCTGAACAGAACTACCAAAAGAAAAATGGCAGAGCATATTGGCAAATCAAGTAGAAAGTGCTTTAATTTTTGGTGGAAGCATCAAAAGAGATAGGAACCTTTAAGCATGCATTATTTCCTCCAAAGAACTGAAAAGAGGTGTGTGTGTGTTTGTGTGTGAGATGTAAGATGATGTGGCAGTTTGGGAGCAGTTCTCCCATGACTAATATAATTGGAACATCTGTAGTGAAAGAGGGTAAAAGGAATTGAAAATTTAGTATTTGGGGTGGGGCCTGTGGCTCAAAGGGGTAGGGTGCTGGCCCCATATGCTGAAGGTGACGGGTTCAAACCCAGCCCCCCACCAAAAACTGCAAAAAAAAATAAAAAACAAAAGAAAGGAAAGAAAATTTGGTACTTGAATATAGAAGAAATATTAATGAAATTATGATGAACTTAGGCACAAATAAATTCAAGCTTTCTTGCTATTTACAAGATACTGAGCCTATAATCAATGAATTTTTTTTTCTTTTTTTTTTATTGAATGGTAACTATGTACATTAATGCACTTCTGGGGTACAGTGTGGGGTTTTCACATGCAATCTGAAATACTTCCATCAAACTGGTCAACACAGCCTTCATGTCATTTTCTCAGTTATTGTTTTAAAACGTTCACATTCTACTCTTAGAAAGATTCATTTGTACCCCTGTAAGATAAACCTCAGAAGTGATCCCTCCAATCCTCCTCCCTCCACCCATCCCCCCTCCCTTCTCCCTCCCCCAATCAATGACTTTTTAAAAGTAAGTAATGATTAAATGGGAAGAAATCAGCAGAAAGCATATGGTGTGCAGAATTGTTCAGCACAGAGGTTAGTGTACCTAGAGCAACATATTGTCTTCATTATGGATCATAAAAAATTGCTCATTTCCGTAGACTTTTTTACTGTGATGCAATATTACTTATATCCTAGAGATAACACAAATGATATCTTAGTGAGCATTTTTGGAAAGAGTTCCCTATTGATTATAAACACTAAGCTTTCTCTGGATAACTCTAAATTATGGTACATTTTCTTTAGCAAATTTTGTTGCCATAAATCCAGCCATTAAATATTTCTGGTAACATCAGCATCACATAAGAAACCACTGTATCTCCATTGGGTCTGACCCCTGAAATTAAACATTTACAGGTATAAGTGTTTCTGAAATAAAAGAGGCCATAAATGTCATCAGATGTTCAAAAGAGTATAGATTGAACTAAAATTTTTTTTCTTAAAAATTAGGAAACTCTGTGCTATTTCTAGCTGAAACCATATCTTGGCCCAGTGTATTTTCTGTTATCTCTAAAAGTTCTTTAGATTCATGAACCAAGACCCTCCTGCTTGACTCTGTGTGGCAGGAGAGAGTCCAATAAAATTATTAAAACAATTACATTCTGACTGGCAAGGACTAAAGAATTAAGTCATCTTTTCATTTTTAAACTTTTAGCAAACTTTCCCAATGATGTTCATTTCACCTTTGGAGGACGGGGGATGTAATTCATAGTGAGCACAATCATCAGATCATGTGCGGGAGACGTAGTACAGGTTATTAAATACCTAGTTTCAACCATAATAACAGAGTGGTTCTCAAAATAACATGTGCTTAAAATCCTTCAATGGTGCCCCAAAACTCCTAGAATAAATCCTAAATCTCCCCATTAGCTTTAAGTCTACAGGGTTTCTCAGCCTGAGCACTGTTGACTTCAGGTGCTGGGCAATTCTTTGTTATGGGTGCTGCCAAATTCTTTGTTACAGGTAGCTGCCAAATGTCGGACATTTGCCAACTACCCTGGCCTCTATCCTCTAGAGGCCAGTAGCAAGACCCTTCACCAGCTGTGACAACCAGAAATGTCCCCAGGCATTGACAGATGTCCCCTGAGGGCCAAAATCTCCCAGAACCACCAATTTATAGTCCTCTACTCCAGCTAACTTAATTATCCCACAATTATGAACTTCCATTTCAGAACACACACAGTTCTTTCTCCTCTGTACTGAAGTACCTTCTGTGTACTTTATGTATGTAACTCTTTCCATGCATATGACTAGTGAGCTCCATCTTATCTTCAGGGCTCAACTTTGTGAGGGTTGTTGGTACAACTTCCATCTGCATTTCCCTTTTGACAGCCTGTGTGAAGGGAGAAGGTTTATCTGTATCTCCTATTAAACCATAAGTTGCGAGAGATCAGTGGCTGTTACTGAGATCTTCACTTGTGTTCCATTGCCCGGCACATACTAGGTACATAGTAAAAAGTTGTCCAATAAACTAACATTTGACCCCAAATAAACATTTAGCAACACTACTATAGGGTTACTTTTTTTTAAAATTACATTTTCTAGTATAGTTATTAAACACTAAGAGTTCAAAAATAACCTTGGGAAAAACCTGGTACAACATGTATAAACACAAATCACTATTTCAAGTTAGTTCTTTCCATGCATTTGACCTTTATAAGTCTTTATAGCTGAATTTATTTGATACTTAAAACCTATATTTTATCACAATTTGGCAGATTTTTGTTTGCTATCTGTTAGCTTGCTAAAGTTCACATCATTAGATAAAGCGTGGTAGCAGGAAAAAACACAGTAATTTGCCAATGGGAAACACACTAAAAGTGACTTCATTTTTTATGTTGTCCAGCAACTTTTACCTTGTGGTTGATTTTAAATGTTATTATTCAAAATTGAAAAGTATGTCAGAAATAAATTCTGTAAAATACATAAAAGAGAAAAAGAACTTAGAGATCCAAATCTTACACCATGATTATTTTACACGATTAAATATTAGAAAATGTTTAAAATATCTTGGTTGACAAAGAGATGTAAAATTTTTGAAATAGAAGCTATTTAAGTGTATAGACACCCTGGGCTATATGTTCCTCCTTGGTTCTTATTACTAATAGCTTTTTATAATTATAAATAAAAACTAATTCTAACAATAGTTATGTGTCAGAGAGATAATTATTTGATGTGTACCCAATTGGATACAAACTATAATCCATTCTTGACAGTGTTATATACAACCCAAGGTGACAGTCACAACAATTATCTAGGCATTGGTTTTCACTTCAAGGACTTTTCAATTAATGCAAAGCAATCTGTCAAAATGATTTACTGGGCACAGTGGCTCACACCTGTAATCCTAGCACTTTGGGAGGGCAAAGCAGGAGAATCACCTTAGGCCAGGAGTTCAAGACAAGCCTGAGCAATATAACAAGACCCTATCTATAATCCCAGCTATTTAGGAGGCTGAAGCAGGGGAACTGCTTGAACTTAGGTGTTTGAGGTTGTGGTGAGCAGAGATGACACCACTGTACTCCAGCCTGGTAACAGAGTGAAACTCTGTCTAAAAAAAAAAAATGGATTTGTTGAATGTTTACTCTATGAAACACTGACCAAAGTTGATAACAAGAGATAACCAAGACATGGCACTTGCC